TGTTGAAATGCTCCACAGTGAACCAGCGTTTGATGATCAGGAATAGATGATTTTATCATAAGAAATGTTTAAAATACATTCAAATGGAATTTAGACCTCATCAGTCGTGAATATTACTTATTTTTGAAGTCCATGCAGGGGAGTGAATAATTTGCCTAGGTCTAGTTCAGACCAGGGGAGTGCAGTGCTCGTCCACAGGCATGGGAAGGCCAGACAGAAGGCATGTGGCTACAACAGCACTGTGACTGTGGGTAGTGATTATCAAACCACTAGCAACCCTGACAGGAAAGTGTCTTTCATACTCGCTGTTGAATCGCAAGCAGGAGGCTGCAGTGAGTCAAAAAGACGGAGCGTTTCCGTCCAGTTCTCCTGAATCCAGCTACGACGATACAGGCACCAAGTCAGCTTCGCATCAGGTCCCTGCCGCCGTGCGGGATCTCCTCCCTTTATCGTGCGCTGGGAACGAAAAGCAGATGAAGAGTGCCGCCTTGTGGTCAGCCCTGCGCACTTCACAGCCCCGCTGCGAGCTGACGAGGTCCGAGCCCTGGGCGCCGTGTTCCTTTTCCCCGAGCCGAGCAGCTCACCGCAAACCCGACATCACAGGTTCAACTCGCAAATACTGGCGGATTGTCGGCGACACCACTGAATGGTAAATAGATTAGGATAACTTTTTTAAGAGCCTTTGCGCTGGCTTATGACCCATCACAGAGAGTATATAATGTATTTTTTCATCCAGCACTGTACGATGCAGAGATCTAACTCTGGCCTAGGGCCGTTACCGTTGACCTGGCTTGAGGGAAGTTAAAGAGACACCTGCTTTGGTAGGTGACACTTCAAGAATAGCTGAAAGGTGGGATAAAGTAATCAGGAATAGCCGTTGGGCTAATCAGGGAAATCATCGCTCTTAAACTCTCTTTAATTGTAATCACATGGCCGGACTACAAAACCCTCTGTAACTGTTGCAATTTGTGGCATCCTGTGTGTGTGTCTCCGTCACCATTTCCCGGAAATGTCCATTTTCGTTGTAATTAAACTTACCTCAAACTGCGCTGTGACTCCTTGCATCCCTACGATGTATTGGCTAAATGCTACAGCAACAGCTGTTCTTCTTTGTGAACTGGGCCCCTACAGTCCGAACATAAGCAGCACAAGTCAGGGGAGCAGAGCAGAGCAGAGCGCCGGGGGGGTAGTTGTTAGTGTCGCAGGTCGTAGTTTCTCTGAATCGATGCGTGCATTCGTGTGTGAGAGAGAAGAACCCGGCCGTGCTGCATCAACACGATCCTGCAAAGTCTGAAACAAGCGGGTACAAGCAGTGGACGGAAAACTACTTACATTTGCAGCTTCGGTTGGTTCGTATTCCTGCATAAGCTGTTTCCATCTTAATAATGGACCTTGAAAGTAATATACTAAACAGACCTTCAGAGACTTTTCTGTATTCTCCACTTACTGAAGCAGCAGGTTTGGAATGCAGGTTTCGTTCACATGTTGTAATGCAAAATAATAAAAAAGATCACATGTGTTCCAAGGTGTGTATCGGTTTTCAATAAATTATGTGTGATGCCATGTAAGATATTTAACCTCGCCACAGAGTGACAGACCCCCGGTTCGTTTAGCACATCTGTCATTGGGGGGATTATCAATGCAGAAACCTGAAACTGGGGATAGAGCAGCTCAGCGAGAAACAAGAAACAAGAAGCAGAGAGTGATTTTAATAACTTTGTCACCCAGAGGCTGTTTTCCTCTGAATGTGCACTAATGTACATAACAGATTTTTTGTAAGCAGTCTGCCATCCGCACAAACTGACAGCAGATAAGACAGGGGCTTCTGAAGAAAAAA